TTTTGGGGTGGTGCACTTCTCTGTCAAGTTCGAGCATTTGACGGGGAATTCTGCAGCATCGTTTGCCCGCGTTTCGGGCGCTATGGCGTTCAAGTTCGCATGCAAAACACGAGCGTGGTGCACTTCTGCAACAGTATCACTGTTCAGTCAAGACAAAATTCAGTTGAGTAAACGCTAAACGCACAGTAACCCGAACTTCACCAAAATTTCGGATTTGGATCGATCTTCTTCAGCATTTTCGAATTAAAAAATAGAAGTGCAGCGCGCCCTTAGGAACCATATAGCGATAGAGCGGTACAGCTGATTCGACGAGGAGCACGTTCCAACATATGTTACCAGATCCCTGCATTTTAGTCGAAGCTACTTGTTAGTTGACTCAGAAGATCCTAGCATATTCGATTTTATTACCTGCGGTCAGACCAGCACTAGCCGATATTAGTATCGCGGTTCACGATTCCTCCAACAGATCGTCACGCAACAACAGCTTGCTCAAAAGTCATGTTTTACAAGCGCATTCGTTACAGGGTAGAATGATGTAGCTCTGCGCCACGTGCCATGGACATCGTGGAATGAGTGGGAGGCGGTGAGGCCGAATCTGCTGGGCCCCGCCGCGACCCGCAGCAAATCCATCTCCCTTTTAGATCGACCAGGCAGTAGGTAATAGGTGTAGCTGTGTCCCCGTTGTAGTGCGATTCTGGATTCGCTTCCGTGTCTTGTGAGTGTACTGCTAGGAGTTATGCGGTGAGGGAGAGTCCATGGGTCGAGCAGCTTCGGTAGGTACACCGTAGCAGCCAAGCCATAGTTCTATCCCCTGATATGAAGCCATAGGTTATCTCCGAAGTGAATTCTGCTCGTACTGAGAGGAGCGAATTACGGTGAGTAAATTCCTAACTGTCCTGACCTCATTTCCTCTAATTTGCGTGATCATGCTTCTATGACCTGTGAAACTACAAACCCGAATTCGTTCCCCTCCATTCCGCCATTGGGTTTTGAACTGCCAGGTGACACCCCGTGTCCATGGACGTGACAGCTGGCATGCTTGTCGTGCAGCTGCAGGACCCGAACCTCTGGTAGGTTTGGGGATGCAGGCTCGGAGATGCAGGTTTGGGGGCTGGGGAAGGGCTCGGTGTGAATGGGTTAGGCGTGTTGCAAAGGCTCATTTCACTGCTGAGTGGGATTCTTTACACTTTAGAACAAATGAGTTTGTTTCTATTATTTCTATATGTATGTTTTTTTCATTTATTCATTTATCTATATGTATATAGCGCAATAACGAATATTTTGTTTCATTTTTCGTGCTGGTTGTGCTGCTGCAGGATCCGAAGCTCTTGCATTTATGCTCGTAACTCAGGTTCGGATCGGAATGCGACAGGATCGGAGCTCTCCTTTCCCGTCTCCCCACCTCACCACCCCTGCCCACCCCCCGCCCCCTCTTCCCCCAACTCCCCCAATCTCTCCCTCCCTCTAACCCTCCCACTCACCCTCCCTCTCTCAAAAAACTTCTTATCAAACCACAACCCGTTCCCAGGCTAACACCCGCGTTAGGCTGAACGCACACAACAATTCACCCACGTTTGCCACGGTTAGTTGGCTGCGTGTCATGTGATTTCTGAGCGGTTCCGCGCAGCTCTGTGCGGTTTGTGCTCCGTCAGTCATACGCTGCTGTCACTTGTCCCTTTCTCGGTTTCCATCCTGATCCCTGCCCTGACATGTCACCCGTGTGTAGGTTCGTATTCTGGCGTGGTAGTGAGGGGCGATGAGGGGTCATGAGGGGTCTTGATATGTCTGATCCTTGTTCCGAGGGCTGTGCTGAGGAATCAGCAATGCTGGCAGCAGCAGGAGGCTTGCTGAAAAACTCTTTCCTAGAAAGAGGTGGAGCCTTCCACCTCTTGCTGATAATAGCCTTCCAAGAGACGGGTGGAGGGTTTGCAGCTAATTGGGTGCCCTGTGCTGTGGGGACCATGCCGTCCCTAGCTGCCAGCTCCGGAGTTCTCTTGAGCCTGGAGGCACCGTTCGAGGCTGCAAGGAGGTTCGGTGCTGGCTCAGGCTGGGCGTTCGGTCCGGACGGAGATTCAGGCGGGCCAAATTTGAGCAAGAGACCGTGGGAGGAGGAGCAGACTGGAGTGAGTGCGGGCGGCTCGATTTGAAATGAGAGAGTTTGGCAGGAGTAGCAGACTGGTGAAAGGGGAAGGCAGTGGGGAGAAGAAATGGGTGGGGCGGCTGGGGAAGTCAGGGCGAGGGACTGAGACAGTGATGGGGGGATTAGTGGGATCGGAGGGGAAGGGGACTACCGTATGGGGGGATGGAAAGGCGGGGTGGGGGGTGAATGGGGTCCTCCTGAATTGATGCAAGCAAAGCGCAGCGGAGCGCACTGACAGAAGTCAAGTGCTGGCAATCTGGCGCACGTCTGGCCAACTTGGGCCACATTGAGACGAAAGTGGAGCAAGTCTTTCTGTTACTGGTCCACTTTCACGCCAGCCCATGAGTTGTGTGGATTGCAGAGCCTCGCGCGACTCGCACTGACTGTTGCCTAACGTCTCGCTGGACGAAGGATGAAGTGGGGCACCGCGGTGCATTGTAAGATCATGCATGCACCTCGTTCAGCTGATAATGCTCGGCTGGCTCCCCCTCCCTCTCCAACGCTCCTTTCACTCGCTAGCACAGGGGAATTCTTTCCCTTGCTCTCTCTACCGTCTTGACAACATCCTCCTAGGGCCCTGTAGCCATAGATTGTAGGGACGATGATGACCCTGCTAGGTCGGGTCTTCCACTTACTGGTCTCGACTTTCTGAGAGGCGGTCCACCTACCGTCACGCCTGAAAGAGATCCGCCTGCGCAGCCCCCAGTTACCAACAACGAACGAACGGCAAGCACAGAGCCCTGGCCGGATTTTAATCAGCGGCAACAGCTGAGTGATCCGCCCGTGGAAGAGTCACCCACTAGAGCGACCGGGCGCGTCGCAACTCCCACGGTCAGTGCTGTCCGAAGCGCAGGTGTCTCCCGGTTCCCAAAGTTCGGGAAGTTCACTCAATCGACTATTCGGTTTGCTCGAACTCGCGTACCTCATGTGCCCCTCATGCAAGGAAGGTCGCCCTCTCCCGCAGCTGCTGCTACTCCGCTGACTCCAGCGACTGGCACGAGCAGGGTGCCTTCGGAACCAGGGCCGTCCAGGCCGTCTATTTTGGTTCCGGATCCTGACGCGCTTCTCGAAGAACTGAAGAAGAAGTGCACCGACATCTGGCAACATCGTTTCCCCTGGCTGCTGATATCACAAAGGAAGGATGGTCGCCCGTGCATGAAGTGCAGTGTCTGCATCAGATACGGACCGCCACACTGGCAGTACGGCAAGGCGGGCGAGGGTGGCGTGGACATCCAGAAGCAGACCACGCGCAAGCATGGTCTGAGTCGCAAGCATTAGGACGCCCTCGATCGTAAAGCCCGAGCCGAAGGAGGTAAAGTTTCTCAACGAGGGATTGATGAGTATGAGGACGGGGTGGGGGAGATTGAGCATTTGAAACAACTTCTATTAGTGGTGCTTTTCATATGCAAGTCGGATGCACCTATTGTGCTCTTTGTTTGCCTTGTGCACCTGCTACACGTTCTGAAGACCCCCAACATTCCCGACAAGGCCATCGGCACCTACCAGACAGAGTGAGTAATGCAACGTGATGTGATGTTTAGGTACTCATCATCATTGACTTATTGTCGTGCTTTTTGTTATGGCAGATATGGGTTTCGGGAGATGACCGAAGCCATGGTGCAGCACCTGAAGGCCCGTCAAATGCGATACATCCAAGAGTCGCCCTTTCTCAACGATTCAGCTCGACGAGTCGACTGATCGGAGGAATGGCAAGCATCTCATCGTCTACCTAACCTTCATGAAGGAGAAGGCGGTGACCGAGCTTTTCGGGCACCTAATCGTGGAGAAGGGCGACGCTTCATCTCTGCTCGCCGGCTTGCTGGCGCATCTGGACTGCAACGGGGTTGACATGCACAAGATCTCCGGCATCAGCACGGATGGCGTGAACGTCATGCTGGGCAGTCAGAATGGGCTGGTGGTTCAGCTGAAGATGCGAGTTCCGCATCTTGTCGCGTGTCATTGCCTTGCTCACCAGTGAGGTATTTTGCACTTCAAATTTTGCAGTATTGTTGTCAGATACATCTCACACTACTCACTTGGTTTTTTTTTCCATCATCTAACAGAGAGGCTCTCGCAGCCAAGGATGCCGCGACGAACATCCCCGCCTTCAACATCGTCGATTAAGGGATCCACGCCGTCGCGACCCTCATTGGCGGAAGCTGCGTCGTCCACCAGAGGTTCCACGAGCTGCAAACCGTGATTCACGCCACGAACTTGGAGATGCAGGGGATTTTCGATGTTCGCCGGCTGTCGCGGGGCGATGCTGTTTCGAGACTTGACGGTGTTCTGCCGGCTGCCATAGTGCTGCTCCACGAGAAAGACAGCACGACGTATCACCTGGTTATGAGCCTCAAATTTCATTTCTTTTTTTTCTCGCTGATGTCCTGAAGGAATTGAACGAGCTCAACAAGCGGATTCAGCGACGATCGGTGTGTCAGAATCCCAACCACTAGACCATTGGGATAAAAGAGCTTGTTAAATAGCGGGTCAGTGCGCCCATAACCCCCCAGGCCAACGTGCCTGTAACCCTTCCCTAGGATCAATCAGGGATCACCAGTGGACCTCTGACACCCCCCCGCACTGGGATGCCCGAAGTGCATACACCGGGATTCGAACCCGAGACCTTTGCTCTGATACCATGTCAGAATCCCAACCACTAGACCATTGGGATAAAAAGGCTTGTTAAGTAGCGGGTCAGTGCGCCCATAACCCCCCAGGCCAACGTGCCTGTAACCCTTCCCTAGGATCAATCGGGGATCACTAGTGGACCTCTGACACGGTGAGCGTGTAATTAACGGTCGCAGATTTTGAAAGTCGCTCTAGTCCCGAATGTCAGTGATTAACATTGTGTTTGTGCGTGATGTCGCAGGTGGACATCACCCGTGTCATGGGGCAGGTGCAAAACACCTGCGCGAAGTTGAACGCGCGCTATGTGGAGTACGGGGTGAACTTCGTGGAGGACAGCGAGCACCTCACTGCCTTCCTCGAAGCGCACTCCCATCCGTCCAAGCGGGTGGTCCAGGTGGAGGGGATGGATGGAGACGGCAACGCCGTCAATCACACCTTCAAGCTGCACGGGCTGGATGCGAAGAAGAAAGAGGATCCCACGGGTGACGTCGAGTCCTGCGTGTCCCTCGCCACCCTGTTTGCGAAGGAGGTGATCGGCAGGCTACAGTACCGCATGCGAAGCTTGAAGTCCCTCGTTGGGTCCAAGCTATTTCTGCCAGACGCCTATCCGGATGGCGTGAACAAGTGCGACCGTCTGTGCACAGAATGGTTCAGCTCCCTTCGCAAGATGTTCAACGCCGAGCAGTGCGCTCTGCCAGGTACGTGTTTTCAAATTCCGCGTTGTCCCTAATCCCTTGTTTGTGTAACGATCCATCTACATAGTGGGATGCTAACTAGATGTGTTGTGTGTGCTTGCAGGAGTCAACTAGAAGAAGGCCGAGCGGGAGCTTCCACGTTTCACCCGCGTGATGGTGTCACAGTACAAGGACCAATCCTTCCACGTGGCACTTAAGAACATGCTCAGGAGCGGGGATTGGGAGTCTTCTTTCCCCAATCTGGTTCGACTTTGGGTGGCAATGGGTATTCTTCCGCTTAGCACTGTGGAGTGCGAGCGAGGGTTCAGTCGCCAAAACGTAATCAAGTCGTGGCTCAGGAACAACCTCTGCAATGCGCGACTCTCCGACCTCATGTGCATCTCCCTGCTTGACTACGAACCAGACTGGGACGACATGGTGAAGCTGTGGCGCGGGGCAAAGAAGAGGCGCACTGCCAAAGAAGTCAGTGGAGTGGCAACTGCAAAACGCAGGGAGGCAGAGACGGAAGCGGCAGGGAGGCAGGGAGACAGGGAGGATCTAGCACCTAACACGACAGCTCAGAAGGCGCCGTCCAATGACGACGGAGAAGCCAGGAGGAAGAAACCCAAAACTCACGTAGTAGATAGCGACAGTGAGGATGAAGGAGTGGATGTGCGTGCAACTGTTACACTGAGTGACAATGAGGCATCTGACCCAGATAGCTAGATAGTTATTCTTGATATGTTTTCTTTGTAGAGAATAGCTGTAGTAGTAGTTGTAGTTACAATAGGGACGGTTTACAAAATCTGATTTTTAAGCCAAGTAATGTTAGAAATTCTGATGCAAAAGACAGGGGCGTGAAAAAATTCTGACCAGTCAGACGGGCTCGAAGGGCCCGTCTGACGCCTCAGGGGGGTTCAGAGACTAGCGAGGGCCCTGGCCGCCTAGTACCTTAGCTGCTTTCTCTGCCCTTCATCAAGCAAAACCTCTGAATGCTGGTTGCAAGGTGGAAGTATGGAAGGTACCGTACGGTACCACATCAATTTGTCAAAAATTACAGAGACCACAAGAAAATGTTTGAAAGGTGACCTCCAAACTGACCTCCCTGGTGTCGAGTAAAAAAACAAATATCTAAAGCAGAGAGGAAAAAATGAGCAACGAGTGGTCAGATTAAGGCAATTGAGTGCTTAAAGGCTGCCCAATGGTACTCTGAAGCAGCAGCAGGGCCACCACTTGCCCCAGCACCTCCTCCTCCCATACCCGCTCTCTCCCCGCTGCTTCTGCTGCCAGCCACTTGTGCAGCTGTCGGCATTGCTGCGACTAATCCCCTTTCCCCTGCCATTGATGCTCCTGCTTCTCCCAACAATGCACCACTTGCAACCTCCTCCATCTGTGCTTTCGCACCCATTTCACCACCACCAGCAGCACCATCACCAGCACCCACCTCGCCACCAGCACCAGCACCACAATCAGCACCAGCACCAGCACCAGCACCACCACTACCAAAAGAAGCACCCGATTCCATCTTTACTCTCTTCTCCTCTATTTCTCCATCGTCCCCTTCCCCTCTAGCCCCGCCAATCCCCCCAACACTATCCCTGTCCCTCGCCCCCTACCTTCCGCAACCGCCCCACCCATTTCTTCTCCCCATCCCCTCTCCCTTTCACCGTTCCTCCAGCCTCGAACGGGCGGCTCCAGGTTCGGAAGAACGCCAGAGCTGGCAGCTAGGGACGACATGGGGCACCCAGTTAGCAGCAACCCTCCACTTCTTTCTAGGAAGGTTCTTCTCAGCAAGATTCCCTCCTCATCCCAATTGCCCCATTCCCTCCACCTCCTCGCTGCCTCTCCCTCTCCTCCCCTTTTCTCAGCTTCCTGTTTCTGGTCTTCTCGTTCCCTGTTTCTTCTTTTGTCCTTTCTCCCAAATCTCCCTTCTTTCTATTCTTACCATCCCCTGTATTACTCGACCCAGTTAGTCCAGTCTCTTCCCACAACCGCAACCCCTCCTCTCGCCTTGTTACTCGCCCTCCCGAACCCTCCCTCGCGTTCACGTTGCCAACTGCAGCAGGGTAGCTGCAAGCAACTGATCCTCCTTTCCCCCCTTCTCCTCTCTCACTGCCCTCCCACCCTTTTCCACTCTCACTGCCCTTCCTTACTCACCTTCCTCACTCTCTCTCCTCCCCCACTCTCTTCCCTCCCTACTCTCCCTCCCTCAATTTCTAACTCCTCTCCTTCTCTCCAACCACCATCCGCATCCATCGCGCTCACCGGAACCACACCCAGTTACAACACCAGCCGCTGCAGCAACTTTCCCTTCCCTTTCTCTCCTCACTCCTGACCTCCCTCCTCCTTTCCCTTTCTTTCCATTTCTCCCTCGTGCTCTGACCCTCTCTCTCTTCCCAAACACCATTCGCATCCATTGCGCTCACCTGAGTCACAGACAGCCAGCCAGAGCACTGGCGGCCGGAGATGAAAAGGGGGACGGGTAACAGGGAAGGGTCATGGGGAAGGGGATGGGGGAGGGGGCGGGAGAAGAGGGAGTAAGGGGAGGGGGGAAGTATGAATGGAATGGGGAGTTTCAACACTGGCTGCTGCAGCAGGCGATCGTGGGGCAGGGCTGGAGACAGGATGGAGTGAGGACGGGGAGGGGACGGAAGGATGTGCTCCCAATACCCCCAGCCCATTACCCCCGAGCCATCAACCACCACCGCATCTAAAAGCGGTTACACTAGCACCCCACCATGCCACTCAAAAACGCATTCGAGCCTCGCTTACAATGCCGCACGTCCACCAGCATTCGTGGGATGCCCACGCGTGCCGTGCCGCCACCCTCCCCACAGATCCGACCAAGAGCGCGTTGCTGTGTGTGTTACACTGTGACAGAGTGTTTCGCTGCACTTCCCTCGAGCTTTACTTGCAGTTCCAGACATGCACCAGCACTCGCGGAATGCCCATGCTTCCATTCTCGCCACCGACCGAACCAGTGCCGGATTGCGGTTGTCACACAGACCACTCACGAACCTACACGTGGCAGGGCATGGACGAAGGGCGAGAAGGAAACAAAACAGGCCTACTAACTCAATCGACGAAGGAGCATACATATCATGACCCTTCATCACCCCTCATTACCACTCCAGGATACGAACCTACACATGGCAGCGCAGGGATCAGGATAAATCCGAAACCGAGAAAGGAACAAGAGACGGCAGAGCATAACTGGCGGAGCACAATCCGCACTGAACCGCACAGAACCGCTCAGAAATCACATGACACGCAGCCAACAAACCTTGGCGAACATCGATGGAATGTTGTGTGCGTTCAGGCTGATTGAGGCACGAAACATTGTGCGCTCAGGCTGATTGAGGCATGAAACATTGGGTGCTCAGGCTGATTGAGGCACGAAACATTGGACGCTCAGGCTGATTGAGGCACGAAACATTGTGCGCTCAGACTGATTGAGGCACGAAACATTGTGCGCTCAGGATGATTGAGGCATGGTGTTAGGCTGGGATCGGGATTTGGGTTGTGGTTTGATAAGAAGTTTATTTAAAACAAAGTGAAGAGAGGAATGACTTACCTCATGATCATTCACCGCACAGAACCTTTCTCAACCATGTGAGTAGAACTAACCGAGCTCATGATGACGGCCGCATATGACTGGCGGAGCACGCATGGGGGAGAGGAGACACCGTGTGGGGCGGCCTGGGGGAGGGTGAGAGGGATGGAAAGACTGGGGGAGTAAGGGGAAGGGGAGGCGGGGGGTGGGGAGGGGTGGTAAGGTGGGGAAGGGGAAAGGGTTGTACGCATGGATTGCTGTATGGAGGAGAGTGACTGGCAGGGCACAAATGGGGGGAGCTGAGCAACGGCGTGGGGCTGCCTGGAGGTGGGGGGTTGGGTAGAAGAAGGGTGGAATTGAGGGAGGGGAAACGGGAAAGGAGAACTCAGATCCTGCCTGACGCATTCCGAACCGAACCTACATTGCCAAGCCTGAGTTACGAGCCTGCATGCAAGAGCCTCGGATCCTGCAGCAGCACAGCCAGCACATAAAGTGAAATTATCCCAAGGACGTGCCCCAAATTTTCGTTTTTGCGCAAGAAACATTACCATAAATTACCCAATGAAACGAGTCTTTGGGACACGCCTAAATCATCCACATTTAACCCTTCCCCAGCATCGCCAAACCTGCACCCCGAACCTACCAGAGGTCCAAATCCTGCAGCTGCACGGCAAGCATGCCAGCTGTCACGTCCACAGAGGCCGAAACCCGTCCCCTGACCTGCCATGCTGGCACCTGTCGGTTCAAAAACCAAGGGTGGAATGGTGGGGAACGGATTAGGGTTTGCGGTTTCACATCGTACAGAAATATGAATTTGTGAGCATGAGGAAATGAGGATATGACGGTTCGAGATTCACTCACCGTACTTGTAACACCTCGCTACCCACTGGGTCAAAACGAGGGTTGTATTTGAGGCGCAGCGGATGCTCTCATACCCTTACGTGTAAGCCCCACAGGCGTTACACTCGTCCCCCCCTGGAGCCAACGTCCTCGTTGGGCAGGGAGTCGGCCCTCGCAAGGACCTGAATCTCGCTCTACAGCGACTTCGCTGGTGGACCAGGCCAGCGGCGGATCGTTCACTGGGTTCGCGATTGGCACATTCAAATGTGACCCAGCCAGGAATCGAACCCCAGGCTCTGAGACCAAATGTAACACCTCGCTACCCACTGGGTCAAAACGAGGGTTGTATTTGAGGCGCAGCGGATGCTCTCATACCCTTACGTCTAAGCCCCACAGGCGTTACAGAACTTCACCCCTCCCATGATGACCGAGATTCATTTCTCTGGGATAGCAGGACACTCACCAGGCACAGTAGCGAATCACGATTTGAACTACAGCAGGAATACGCTAGACTACACTTATTACCTACCCGCCGGTCGATCCCGGAAGGAGTAGGATTCGCGGATCGCGGCGGGTCTCAGCAGGCTCGACCTCACCGCCTCCCTCCTCCCAGAACGCCTAATCGTGCGCAGCCTTTGAAATGCTGTGCTAACTTGTAACGAACCCCGCTGCATTGTTGTGATATTGTAGGGAATTGTATATTGTGTCGAGCAGTTGTAGAAATTTCGATGCTTGAACAGACTAGAACTGGCCTGGTGGATGGCTGCAAGAAATCAAGTCAATCTTCCAAGAAGGCACTAAGTTGGTAAGGCCGACTAGGGCTACTAGCAGCTTCCTGACGTGCGAGCATGTAGGGACCTAGGCGACTTGGAATATTGTCAAGACAGATTCGAGAATGGTAACAAGGCAGCGTGCGATGCACCGCACTTGACCTTATCACAACTATCTTCACTCTCAAATCTCTCTTCACTCTGATGAAACACATCAAATCTCTTTCCTCGTCCAATCCCCATTCGCTCCAACCAACCACTCTGGGTATCCTCCTAACCTCAATCAGCCCAAACCAACCCAACCCAACCCAGCTCAACCAAATCAGCCAATTTCAGCCCAGCCCAGCAACCATACCCAATCCAACCAGGCCTAACCCAACGTAACCCAACCCATATCTGCATATCTCAATCAGCTCCTCCCCCTTCCACCCACCAGCCGTCTCCCAATTGTGGTTCCTCTTGATAGTGGTCCTTCTCTCGTCCCGCTAGTGCTGCCTCTCTGCTAGGGCGAACGAATGCCTGCCAAGCCAAGCCAAGCCAAGCCCACACGTTGCTCGCGATGCCGTCGCGTGCATTCTATTCGTCCATACTGCTGCTGCCGCTAAAGCAACACCCATTCATTTCATTGCTGTACTGTATTTGCCTCGCTTAGGGAACGCGCATCACGATAGGGGCAAGGGCAATGACTAGCTCGGTGTGTTATGTGGACGGCCGTCGGCGAGAATATCGCGTGGCACGTGCTTGGTGTGTCTTCCGCCGTGGAAACTGCCACGTGGGACACGTATTGGGCGGATGCCGTGCGCTCAGCTCTTCCGGGAACTCACCGCCATCTTATCCTGAAAATCAGCCCGTAGTATCGACCCTCGTCTCAATCCCTTGCTTGAAATGGAAGTTCATTTTCGGGTTAACTTTGACACTCCCTGAGGTAGGTTTTGGTTTCTCACGGTACGAGTTTCGTCAGTTACAGTACTACCGTAGTCGCTTGGCTCGGAGTCACTCCTCATGGCGAATGTAGTATATCACCCTCGAGTCGCTCGTTCCGTCACTGTTCTTCACGACGCGTTGCGCGCTCACGTTACTACTACAGCGTGCCTCCTCCTGCTACTCCTCTACTGCTCACCGACGACGGCTTTCCGCTGGCAGCCCATATCGAGGCAGCTTGTACCGAAGATGCCTCCTGATCCCTGCTACTATGCGATAGATTTTGCGTCCGACGCAGCAGGGGTGGGCGGAACCAGCAGTGACTCATCCCTGGCGGCTTCCGCGGCTAGAAACACGGCTCTCAGGGCGGTTTTCACGGCCGCGCTGATACCTATCCCGGCGAACAAGCCGAACGGGTGCACGTGGCCCGGCGTGGCTTGCTGCGGTGGGAAGGGTGTTAAGTTTCTATCCATCTCTAAGAACAGCGCCCCCCACCCACCCACGCCTCGCCTTTGCAACCGTACTGCGCGCAAACCTGGCGGAAAGTTCCCCGCAACCCTCTCCGAATCTATCGGCCAGTTGACGGATCTCGAATTTCTCAATCTGAATGGTCTCTGGCTTTCTGGCTCAGTCCCGCAATCGTTCTCCCGGCTTACAAATCTCGTTGTCCTCGAGCTTAGCGATAACTGTTTCTCTGGTCCTCTTCCTCTCTCCATTTTTCGCACGCCGATGCTTAGTGATGTGTTCGACGCCAATAATTTCTTCGCCAAAACGTCCTGCTGCGTATGCGGCTAACTCATGGTCTCTGGATCTCATGAATAATAGTCTGTCCGGCCCGATTCCTCCTGCCCTCGCAACTACGCTGATGGACCCCAGGTCGGCGATACTTTTGTCCCAGAATCGGCTAACCGGGAATATTCCTCGTGCTCTGCTCAAGAGACCGGGCTCTATTGATTTAAGTCAGAACAGCCTTTCTGGCGACCTGA